CTTCAGCACAAATATATGTGTCTTCCTATTTTTCTTGTGTCTTCTCTCTTCTCCCTCCTCACACTGATGCTTCGCTTGCTCCCTTCATGCGTCGTGCTGACGACCTCAATACTTCTCTCACCCACCCACCCCCTCTTACGCCCCTCAACGTCACCTGGCGACAGAGAACCGCCAATAGCAATACATATCTTTTTCTTTCGTCCTTTCTTTTATCCCCCAACCCCCTTTTATTATATATATATATATATATATATTTGTTCGTCTTCCTTTTACTTCTACACGCATGCGCTTTCACTTTGCGATCTCTCCAGCTACCCATCCAGGAATATACATGTAGAGGCGGAGCAAATGAGAAAGAGGGAGGTGCGTCGACAGCCCACCCACCCCCTCACGTATTGAGGGTTTGATGCTTGCCCACATGGTGGCGGATAGCATAGAAATAAAATTTACATCGGTCGCTTCTCTTCCATCCAACAGTGACGCACGCACGCACGCAAGCAAGCCGCACGCCGCAGATTGTGTGTCAATGGCTCACTGGCCTAGCTGCCGCCTGCGACGGTGGATGCACCGTCTGTGGCACCCGAGGATCCCTGTTGGATGCGGGCGGGGGTGTTCTCGCCCGGATGATTCTGCGGCAGCCGGTTCACAAACGGTTGCAGTCGACTGCCCATGACACGCGGCCGCATCGTCTCTACAGGGCGGTTGCAGCCGAGACAGCGGAAGCCGCGGAATCCCGCGAGAGCATCTGGCACCCCGCCCCCAATGTGATCCTCACTCACGATACGACGGAGGCGGTCCATGTCCTGCTTCGTGGCCTTTCCATCCAGCAAGTCGCGCAACACGTTAAGGGACTTATCAAGCGTGTCAATAAGGCCAGCGTTGGTGGCGTTTAAGACCTGTTCCACCTCCCGCATCAGGCGTTCTAGTGCGTTCTCAACGTAGTCGCGTTCAGCCTTGTTCGCCACAAGCATGGCGTCCGCCTTGCGGTGATCAATCTGCTCCACGTAGTCGCGCAGAGCGTCCAATTCATTTGTGGTGCCGTCACGCACCTGGTTGAAATTCTGCACATGTTCCGCAATTTGCTTTTGTAGCTGCTCCACAAGCTCCCCTTTCAGCGTGGCAGCCGAGCTAGTGGCATCATCGTCTCCCCGCGTACCCGCCCCGAGCTCCAGCAGCTGCCGCAGCTGCTTCAATTCGTCGGCAAGCCGCTGCACCGCCGCGACATCGGCCTTATGCTCATCAAGGTCTATCACATTCGCCTCAGCGCGAGCCATGCGAGACAGCAAATCATCCGCACGGCGCCGCAAATCATTCAGCGCTGCGGCGTCATCACCAGTGTCCTTAACGGCTGCTGGCAATGGCAGCGCCACCTCCTCTGTTTCCTCCTTCGCGGGTACCACAGAGGACGGACGTCGAATGCCCTTGTCCTCCTTATTTTCATCCAGCAGTGCACATGTCTTCTGTAGTGCTGCTGTATCTCGCTGTAACTTTTCCACATCCCTTCGCAGCGCCTCCAGGTCATTGTCGTAATTACGCAGATCAAGCCGCTGCAGGTCTGCCAATTGCTTCTCCAACATGTCCACGGCTGCAGACAACGCGCCCAGCTGAGCCGGACTGACTCCCGTGTCACCACCTTCTGTCGACACAGCTCCAAGCATACCGGCCAGTTTGTTATTCGTGCGCTCCAAGGCCTGCTCCAACGCGTTCATACTTCCCTTCAATGCTTTAACGTCGTCCGGAAGGGAATCCCAGCGAGGATCCTTGGGTACATGTGCCGCTCCAGTACCAGCATCCGGAGCACCAGCTCCTTTCTGCAGACTCCTTACAGCATCTTCAAGCAACTCCACGCGGCGCTGCAGATTGGCCCGTTCACGTGCTTCATTTGGATCAGTTGTCGTTGGCCTCTCTTCGTCCTCTGCACTCCCCCTAACCGTTCGCATTAAATCGACATCCGCGTGAATAACCTTCATCTCGTTCAGCATCTCCGCCACGACCCTATTGAGGTACCCAATATCGGCGCTGTCCTGCACCAGGTGATTGTAGATGGAGGAGGAGGCGCCAACCACCGGCAGCTGTTCTTTTGACGGCGTCACGAAGCTACTGGAGGAAAACACAGGACCTGCCCCACCCGATGAGGAAGGGCCTGACCTCTCTAGTGCAAACGGTGATTCTGAGCGAGTGGGAAAGGGTTGCTCCACCCCACTCCCTGAGAGGAAAGGGGCAGGCAAGTCGCCACCTGCGCCTTTTCCCTCACTTAATTGCAACGATGGTTTTTGCTCATCTGACTGTTGTTGTCGTTGTTTTTCTTCCTCCCCATATTTCCGTAGTTCTTGCCCAGATGTCGGGCGATCTCGTTCCTGTTGCTTCTTCTCTTCGCTACGACGTGGCGGCTCCACCAACTCGCCCGTGGCAGCACTCTCCTCTGGCAGCAGCGCCACTGGCGGCACAGTTTCCTCCATCACGAGTCTCTCCTTTGCACGATCCAAAATGGCGTCACCCACGTGCGACTCCACCTCCTCAAGCGCCCCCATCCCTTGCATGGAGGACACCACCGATTTTGGCCGCTGTATAATCGGGAGGCTGGTTGCACTGCCCTGTCGCTTACGGGCCCGGTACAACTGCTCAATGGTGGGCCGACGACCAGGTCGTTGGACCTCTCCGATGAGAGCCTTTAGACGATTTATCTCGTCCCACAGTGGGCGAAGGTCGGTGGGGGGCGCCTCACCCTGACTGAAGTACCCCTCTTCCTCGCCGCGCTCCTCCGCGTCCCTCATCTTACGAAGCTCCTCCAGCTGTCGAAGCAGCTCTTGCTGCTGTGCCTCTCGCTCCGCATCCTGTTTACGCAAATCCTCTACAGCCTTTTTCAGTTGAGCGATCTCGTCATCCTGTTGCTCGTTGTCTGTCTCCGCCTGTTGGACGCGCTTGAGAATCGACTGAAGGAGCAACTGCAGGGGCTGAAATGACATGGAGAAGCTGATGAGCTTCGAGAGGTCAACCTCCCTTGAGGTATCCGCCACGTCGAAAAGCATTTCCCTCACGTTTTTCTAACGGTAACTGCCACGTTGACACCTCCTGCTCCTTGTTGTTATTGTTTCGGTTGGGGTCTTTCTCTTTCGTCCCCTCCCACTGCGTCCGTGTGTGTGTGTGTGTGTGTGTAGAGTTGTTTATTTGTTCCCAGCCACGCAGTCTCGGAGTGTGCGTGTGGTGTGTAACTGTTGTCGTTGGCTCACACGAACTTCAGTGCACCGATCAACAAAAAGAAATGATGGGCAGTTTGTACGCGTGCGTGACAGCAAGAGATGAGGAGAGAAGAGAAACGATGGCAGTGGCAAAGCAGGAAGAGACAGCAAGGCGCAACGAGTGGGGAGGAAAGACACAGACAGACAGACACAGAGAGATGCGACATGTACACACACAAACTCTCTCTCTCTCTCTCCCGTTTTCCCCAAGACGTGACTCCGTAAAGTTGTTGACAGTTAAATCAATCCCACGGAATGCGTACGGGGAGCAGCCGCCGAACGTCCTTTTCCGCCAGCAGCGTCTGCTCCACAAACCGCCGCAGCGCCGGCATCACCTGCGCGTTCTCTATCTTGAGCTCCTCGCATGTTTCCAGCCACAAAAAATTCGCCGCGTTATGCTTGCCTTTGCTTGGCGTGTCATCAATGAGGACGGTGTTCTGCGGGGTGGCAATGTCGGGAAAGCGGTGGAACACCTCCCGCAGGTCCTTCACGGTGGCGTGCTGATCATCGCGGGAGGCGGCATTCGTGCGGCGAAAGTCGTCCGACGTCGTGTGCTCGCGGGACCACACAAACGCAAACTGCACCTTCGGGGACCCGCTATGCGTCTGAAACACCGCTTCCATCACTGGTGCCGTGTTTCGCGCCGTCGTCGAGCTCCAAATGGCCAGCGTGCAGTGCTCCTGCAGCGCCTGCAGCGACTCTAGCGCCCCTGGCCGCAGCCACACACGGCTCATGCCGACAGTGATGGCACCATCGGGCATACCGGGCGGCATGCGACTGGCGTGGATGCGCTCCAGCAGGGTACCACGCAGGCCAAAGACGAGTAAAGGCCTCATCACGCCTGTTCACCCTGGCGGCGAGAGAAGGGAAATGAAAACAAACAGCAACGAGTCAAGTCTGTGAGTGACCATACCCAGCTGTAGGTGAGGACTGCGTGTGGAGGTGTTAGCGGGGGATCTGGTACACGTTAGACACGGTCAACCCGTGCAGTCCAATGCAGAAAAAAAGTGCTAGGCGGCCATGCACGCAGAAGAGAAAGAGGCACACACACACGCATAAAAAAAAAAAAAAGAGACGTGTGTGTGTGTGTGTGAAGAGAGAGAGAGAGAGAGAAACGAGTCATGTGTGGACGGCCAGCAACAACAAAATGGGTGCACACCGCAGCAAACCAAACAGCAACAAAAACAACAGGGAGCACACGCATAGACGGGAACAGATAAAAAATATTATAAAAACGGGAAGTAAAAAAATATTCATAAATAAATAAATAAAAACAACAACAACAAAAGAAATTTCAATAATCGGAAACTTCCC